GGCAACGGATTACAGACACTACAGACTTGGTGAACAGCCGTGCAACACAGTGTCAACCCCTGGATTCATGCTCCGCCAAATATGGCCTATCAAAAGACACTGTAGTTTCAGACAGCCCGCCATGGAGACTAAGAACGATTTTTACAACCGTATATATAGGGTATTCGCAGAATGTCCCACAAGGCCTTGCTAGATTCTCCATGAGGGGACGAGAAGCTTCCAGATAGAGATGCTCGCTCCAGACTGACTAGCATTATGACCAATCAGGGCGTAGCTACGTTCGGTCCGTAGCCCGCACCTAACGCATGTGCTTAATGACCTTCGCTGTATCCTTTCTCACCTTGTTTTCCTAAGAGGGAAGCCTGGAGGAGTAGAACACAACTTTTCTTCCTTGGAAGAGTGTTCTTATGTCGTTTTTATCTGAGGAGTAGTATACTCGAACTCGCTCAGGGTTCACCCACTGGATGGTTGCTCGCCTTTATTCTTGGCTAGCGAGGGTTTCATAGACCAGAGCTGCGTTCGAATACTACGTCAGTTCGTCGAAGTTTCTGTGGGTTGTTCTTAAAAGCGAAACCATGAATTTTCGCGTCACTCACGGATGAACGTGGGTTAGTTTGTTTTTCTGCTTGTGGCATTCAGTTCATGCTGCATTTATATGGTCTTGTATGCGGTACATCTCTTTGTCACGGATTCACGAATTCAGGATTGATACAGAGGATCGAGGCTTTTGCCCAGGTTTCCCGGGTCGGTGTTGCTCTTGTCATTCAGCGGCTGTCGTTCACCTGAAAGGCACAAGTGAAAAAAGGGTTTAGCACTGCTCTTTATGTTCTGAGTGCGGGGCAGTATGCTTGCCAGCGCGAGGATTCGCATAAAGAAATTTCTAGTAGTGCTTTGAACTGGGTTAAAGAAAGCGTCGGAGGAAGGTCATTTCACGCAGCTACTACTCGAAATGAGAAAAAATTTCGCCTAATGAATGTGTGCGCTGTGAGCTTGAAAATCTTACCATGTCCCCGCCGTGTGTTTGCTGGGTCAACGGTGAAAAACCTGTTTGCCAAGCTTTGTTCAAACAGGGCATAAGTAAGAATTAGGTCCCCTCGGATGCGACGATACTCCAGGGGAGGGAGATCAAGCATCGCGAGACGCGTTTCGTAGTCCACGGATTTGAGGCCGGCAACCATTCTTGTAGCGGCTCGCTGGACACGCTCAGTAAGAGTGCCATTTTTTGTGCATCCTGTGTAGACTGTTTGGTTGACGTATTCGAGGAGCGGCCTGACGTAGGCCCCATAGGGTATCTGGAAGTCCGTGCGAGTGATACGGGAGAAGGTGCGTCGGATCATCCGTAAAATGGCGATTGCCTTTTGAGCTGATTTCTCATGGTGCAGTGAGAAGGACAAGTTTGAGGGGACGCAGATACCCAAGACCTTTTTGGCGCCTGTCTTCATGATGTTTTATGGTCCTTTCTCACCATGCATAACAAAGGCATTTACTGAGTCTCCTCCAAATGACATATGGGCGCGCTTTTCGTCATTCATTGGAAGGTCCCATTCCAACGACCACTGCCTTACAGCGTCTATGCCCATCTGGAGGGCACTGGCATTGGAACTCCAGGATTTCAAGTCGTCTGCAGAGAGTAGACGTGGACTTGCAAGAACATCTGGAAGGTGGTTGACGTAGATCAAAAACAGCAGTGGCCCCGGGACGGAGCCTTGAGGAACTCCAATGGAGACCGGCGCTGGAGAAGAGTAGGTCGAGCCTATTCTCACTCGGGATGATCTGTCTGATAGGAATGTCTTGATTCAGTGTAGGGTTCTTCCAAGAATTCCGTAAGGAGCAGCGGGACGTGTGGGACCCTATCAAATGCTTTTGAGAATTCGAAAAAATATGGCATGCAGTATGAGTCCTTCGTCCTTGGTTTGAGTTACGCTGTCTATAAACACGAGCATGTTTGTCACGCAAGAACGGTTTGGGAGCTGTGTTTAGCTGGAGATATCCTGTTGCTGGAAGTAAGGGGATCTAGGATGGCTCGCTTCAGAATGCGTTCCATCACCTTGCACGGCACGCTAGTGGGGCTCATAGACCTGTAGCTGCCAGGCGATAGTTTTGTAGATTGACGTGACAATCGCTTCCTTCCAAGCAGAGGGAAGGCGACCTTCGTCAAGCGACTGACAAAACATCAGGTATAAATGATTTGCCAGTGTAGACGACGTTTCCCTCAGGATCCTTGGATGGACCTCGTCGGGCCCCAACGCGCAGAATGGGTTGATCTTGTGCAAGAGTTGACGATGTTCTCCACAGTGAAGACCAATTCAGTTAGAGGCTGCCTTGACAAGAGTGGATGTGACGAGGACGCTGGGGCTGAATACAGACCTGCATAGCGTTCTCTGTAAACCTCAGATACCACTGTTGGGTCACTCGTGGGTTCACCGTTCCTCAAGGAAAACGCGGATGGCTTGTTTCTGCGGCGAGTTCTCATGTATTTGAACAGTATGTTTTTGTTTTTCCGAGCGACGTCTAGGATGGTGTCTCTACTCTTCGCTGCTGATTTAGGAACCGGTCATCGGTGTTGTTGTCGAATGTCGAACGGTTAGGTGCGCAGATTTGTCCATCATTTTGGACGCTTGTTTGTATTTTCCTCGTTCTCATCCTCGGTCGAACAAGAGGTCAAGTAGGAATATTTGCAAGAACACTGTGTTCAGAAGAAACGTTTAAATAAGCTGCAGCACCGGTGATTTGGCCAGTTGTGCGAGAGTAAAAGTACCTCCCGGTCGGTCAGAGCCTTTTGCTCCGAAATCCCACGTACAAGTTACTGAGAAAACCTCAAACTTCACTCGTAGTGTTTGATTTAGAAGCCTGACCGGAACGGCGAGTGTTAGAACCTTTGAGGGTCCATGTCCGAAGCCAGTGACTCAGCGGTCTATCTGTACAGCATTATTACGATCGTTCTTGCTCTTGGAACTGTTTGCTTAGCAGATGTTGAATTTCTGTCGTAATTTGACTGGACTTGATAATTCCCTAGCGACCGCAGACAGATCCAGCCAACTGAGTGCACTTTTTAAGGTCCAGTCTGTGTAACTTGTCGACCGCATCGGAAGATCTTATTGCTGCTAAAAAGGCCATGCAAGCAACTGTGATGGCGTACTCAGATCCCTCAAACACCGGATACTCAAAAGCTGAAGGAGTGACTGATAAAACTGGTGGATTACGAAAGCCTAGGAGATGGAGAAGTCTTTTGGGGCAAACAACAGCCTGGCCCTAGTTCAGCTGATTTGATCAACTGGTCGAAGGAAGACAATTGTCAGCGAAACAATATGCGAAAAGGACGGAACGAGAATCCACTCACAAAGTCGTTGTCTTGAGTGATGGATGGAACACTTGGAAAAACAGTTCCTCTGGTTTCCTTCAATACAACCGCTGGAAGAGCCCAGCGGACCTGAATTGCTCATCGCCACCATCTCGCCATCAACAACAAAAACCTAGCTTGGGATGTCAACCCCCTAACTCAACTAAGCACCTGACCAGATATTTCGCACTCTTCATAGAAGATATTGAGGTCCTGAAGAACGGTCCCACAACCATATTGTAGAAGGCTTGGAACTAAAACAGAATGCCAGTCGAATGCAGTTCCTTGACTGTCCGCCCAACTGACAAAAAAGACACAAGCACCTCATACGTGGCCTCAGCCTGGTACCCCCCGTATCTGCTGTGCTCTCCGGCGTTATTTTGCATAGGTTGATCAATTATCAGGAGAGACAGATTCGTGAGAATCAAGATGGGTTTCTCTCTGGCCAAGGATGCATCCACAAATTCTTGGAGAGCGCCATTCCTTGAAACGTCCAACATTAGTCTTCCTGATCTGGAAGTTACTTTCGGCTCTGTCGATCGTACGGTAGCAAGGCATCAGTGTTGAACACTGATGTCATTCTGTCGATTTTAATGATAACGACTTTCGAGTGTGAGTAACTTTGGTGGTGTCCGGCGATTCAGCGTATCGCTTCCAAATGAATGTTACTTGTGAGAGTTCTGTATGCGAACTCCTGTGAATGGTCACGAGTGTGCTGCAAGATTTCGCCTAAGTCCAGTGATGTGGGGCAAGGCTGCGTCGTTTCGCTTTTCCCTTCCAATTGTGCCTCTTAAAACGTTCTCGCTCACCTCTGAGAACTTAGGGGTCTAAATGCTCCCTAGACGTCTGCTCACAGACACTGAGTATGCGGATGATATTTCTCTCTTGGTTCAGATCCTTGAAAAATGAAGGCCATTTTATATAACCCAAATAACTGCCGCATGCTTTAGCATGCGCTTCACACCTGCAAATTTTAAAGTGCAGCTACAAGACTGGGTTGGATCAAACCCGAACGTCATGGTTGCAGACGAGCCAATCGACTCGGTTTATATGGGCAGTTGTATAAGTTTCACTGTACCAGCTGGCGACAAGTTCACCTCTCGAGTTTGGAAGGTTAGGACAGCTTTTGTCAACCTTCGACATCTGACGCTGACGTGATAGCGGCAAAGACGTCAAGGGCAGAATTCACACTGTGGCAATGCAGTCCAGGCTGCTTTAGAGATCAGATACGTGGCCTCCGTGCGCCTCAGTGGCGCTTGTGCATCAAAGCTATCCTGTTCAATTCGTAGCTAGTCAGTTCCCGAACTAACTGAAAATGCCTTCGCCTCCAAGTTTTGGCGCTATGTCCCACACTCTCCCACCTTCCGCTGATCGAAACTCTAGCAGCCGGAATCAGTGTACCTATGGCACACGGTTTATAGCTCATAAATTGATTGATTGATTGCATAACATAATCCACATTACGACAGCGCAGGATCACTTTATCCATTTGGTTTGAGTATTTCAGGCATCAGGGTTAAATCAATTAAAGCGTCTGCTAGGTCATAAACCCCATGCTCCTCTGTGCATCCGTCTTTTGGTCACGTGTGAATCCTGTTTGTGCTTTGTATTTCAGCTACCATAGCACAATTTCGGCCTTTACATGTCTGGAAAAAATGTAAGGACCATACGCGTCGGATCACGTCGAAGCCAATTGGCACTGGTGCAAACTCACTTGGCTATTGATATGCTACGGGCCAAGAACAACTTATTGGAATTTGAGGTTGTCAAAATTGCCACCGTAGGCGATAAAATCTTAGATGTTGCGCTTTCAAAAATTGGAGATAAAAGTCTTTTCACAAAGGAACTGGAGAGAGCTCTTGAAGACAACGAAGTGGACTTTGTGGTGCACTCTCTCAAGGATGTGCCTACATCTATGCCTGAGGGACTTGTGTTAGGCTGCGTGTTTGACCGAACTTCCCCAGAGGACGTCGTGCTAATGTCTCCCAAAAATCGTGGTCGGAAGCTCCGTGATCTCCCCGAGGGATCCGTTGTTGGTACAAGCGCCCTTCGTCGCAGTGCAACCTTAAAACGTTTGTATCCCCACCTCAACTTCATTTCCATCCGAGGGAACCTCAATACCCGTCTGAACAAGCTGGATCTGGAGAGCGAAACGAAGACAAAGGAGGATGATAGCGCTGTACACACTGTCAGATATGATGCGATTGTGCTAGCGAAAGCTGGGATTGAGCGGCTGGGCTGGGCAGATCGTATTGATGAGGTAGGTCCTTGTTTGAGCTTTGTTTTCACGTGCAGTATTGCGTGTGTAGTTGGTTTTATTACCTTAGGGCTGTATTCTTTTTTCCGTTCTGAACTGGCTTGCTAAAGGCTCTTTTGCTGCACTTGCTAGTTTTATCTATGGGGTAGTTAGTCAGCTATTTACTTGGTGATATTTGGAATAATGGGTGGTTGGTGATAATCAAATATGATTCAATTTGACAATTGCAGCTCAGATCACCTTAGCGCGTAGTGGAATGTAGTTCCAGGTAAGGAAGATATTGTCGTTATTATGGGTCAAGGAATCGCGTGCTGCCGTAAGACACTGAAGAATCGGTGACGCCTGAAACCTTGTTACAACGGGAGTCAACCTAATACCGCTCTGGTCACCACATTCACTGTGAGCACCTCTTTTTAAAGTGGTTACTGCGATCGACTCATCCCAGTTATCTGGGACGGTCTCTTTCTTCCGAACAAACACAAACAGGCTAGACAAGCACGGACTGAGGAATTCGCCGTCATTCTTGAACAGATATTCAGCCCCAGGAGCATGATAACGCTTGAGTAGAAATCTACATTCGGACACTTCTGAGGTTGAGGAGGATGGTTCCATGTTCACACTCCATCTTTCTGCTGAAGGTCGACAGTCGGGACTTAAGGTAGCCGGTCGCCATCTGAATTGTTGTAGGATGATATTTTGGGCACGGTAAACGAATAAATCAGTCCAAAATATCGACTGGGAGCAAGTGAGCGGACATAGCAGCATCACCAGCTATGTAACACTGTCATACGTTCAACAGTTGCGTGGTCTGGTCCCCGGTACACAAACCTCACAGAAGGCATGTACCGTGCAGCCGAAGCTTGATACCTTCCGTGTTTTTCGTGGTCCTTTGTGGCCAAGCAGTATTTTCTTATTTGAACCTATACTAGGCAGTGTGTGGTAAACCAATCGAGAACTTGGCGGACGTAGCATATTCTCAAGTCGCCTTCTTTGATACAGCTAAATTAGGTTATCGAATAGAGTAACACTTGATTTGTCGATGAAAGACGCTCAGTTTCGCTAATTCGGAATTCTTGTTATGTGTGTATTGTGTTTCGAACACACAAGTGGTCAAGTCCAAACGGTTTTTAGGTCTTGCACGCAGTGTCTGGCTTCGTAACCGTAAAGAAACACTAAATGTGCTGCCGTACTTCCTAATGTTTCGTCTAAGCCGAATGTATATTATAGTGAAGCTTGGTGCATTTATTCCAACAATCACTTTATTGGTGATTAAATACGTCGAGCATTGTGGGAGCCAATTTGAATTACCCCCCCCCCTTAGTATTCAGAGTCGAGCTTCGGATTCACGTTATTTCCACTTCCATCCAGTCAATCGGTGTTCGGGGATTCATCACCATCATCATTATCAGCTCTAAGGACCGCGTACTTGTCGTACAGTGGTTGTAGTTGCCACATTTTCGTCCACCGATGATTTGGGTTGTGGATTAGGTAGTGGACTTTGAAGTCGGGGGATTCGGAAGGGAGCCGTGCATTGAAGGCAATACCTTAGATACACGAGCACCGTTGTGGGCGTGACTAGGGATGTCAGACAGTGTCTGTAACCATTGATGGTCCAGGTCCAGGTCCCCATCCAGAAAGATAGTAGTGACCAGCGCAGCTGAGCTTTCTGGTACTGGCTCTTATACTTCGCTGTCAAGTCATTGTTTGACCTCTAGCTCGTTTCCGCCCTTCGCGTGGCTCTGCAAACAGAGGATCTTGGTCGACTGGCGTACGGAGCACATGGCCAAGCTGGCGCAACCTATGCAGTGTGACCAGTTCATCTACCGTTAGTGAGTTATTCATTCTGAATGCTATCCAACGTATTTAAACGTTGTTCATCTTACCAGATTAGGCGATGCCCCGAAGACATCAACGGTCAAACGCTGAAAGTCTTCTGACGTCCTCTATGCTCTTTGAAAGGGTCTCTGACCCGTATAGCAATATGGATCGCGCTGAGTAGCATTGTACACGGGACCCTTGATGGCTAAGCTGACGTCACGCCTACACCACAGGTGGCACAGGTTCACAAAAGCTGCTCTGGCCTTCCCGATCCGGATGGAAATATCACCTTTCGCGAGACCAATTGAAATGATACAGTTGCCTAGGTAGACGAATTTGTCTGGAACCTCAAACGGCTCATCCCGAAACATGAGGCTAGGGTTCGGGTATTCGAGCGTTACCTAAACAGGTGTGGTATTTTGAAAGCACTGAACGTCATACATGTGCCGTTTTTGTTCTAGCTCGCAGGAGAACGAGCCGCGATGCGAATAGGTATACGTATATGTCTCACAAAGGTCAACGACCCTCATCACAAGATTGTCATGGATAACTATTCGCCATGTAGTTGATTTGAATTTTTCCATTGCTTATGGCCGGGAGCCGCCATACGCACCTTTGTTGCTCATAGTGACCAGCTTACAGTCAAATGGAGCGCTCACCGTTGTTGGTTCTGAGGGCATTTTTACGTGAGTTTTCAAGTTACCAGTAAAATAGTACTACCCGCGGGACCTTTCACTCTAGAGAAGCCCGTGCCATTTTCATCGCTGCTTCTGTCTGCTGGATCTCGCGCAGTCCTTTTCACACTGTCGAACTACACAGACGGTCGTTCGCAAGGGTCCATTGTGTCTAGTTTCTGGCAGTCGTTCTTCATGCAGTGTCAGCACCATGGCACTTCTGGACACCAGAACAATAAGACATGAGGAAGCTGAGTTGGTTGGAACCATGTTGATGTGCATTACTGTAGTAGAGTCATATGTGCGTTTCTTCTGTTACAACAGAGGAAATATCTGATGACCCGTGTGACGCAAAGTTTGGGCACTAGGGATACTCATGTAAAACAGATTCATTGGTGCTAATAGTGCATGCTTGGAAATGAACGCCAAACAACGCAGCTTCGGATTTGGAGACTTCGTGGATGGAACAGTTCCGCAACTGGGAGGTGGCAGATCTTATTTTAAGTACTCTGACTGAAAGGATCGCGCACCTCTCCTGGTAATTCTCTTAGGTTGTATCATGTCGCTTTTCGGACGTACTGCTTTGCCAGTTCCTCAGTTGTGCCTTGCAATTGCGATTGATTGCTGCCGAGGAGAACCGTCTCAGATTGCACGCGCGGTTACTTAATCACTTGTTAGGTTTTCATCAGCTGCTAAACTCCCACTGAATCACTCTGTTTGTTTGTGACTTCAGGTCCTGGATAACTGCTTCCATGCCGTGAGTCAAGGAGCCTTGGCTTGTGAATGCCGCAAGAATGATACATTCATCCTTTCCGTGCTCGCCGATCTCCATAACGAGTCAGCGTGTCTCAGTGCGATAGCAGAACGGAGTCTTATGCAACACTTGGACGGAGGATGCTCAACACCCATTGGTGTCCGGCACCAACTTATCCCTTCTGTTGGCCATCCACACCACCTAGTACTAGAAGCTAACGTTCTCAGTGTGGACGGCGCTCAGTATGTTGAGGCGTCCGTATCCGCCGAATTTCCGCATCTTATACCAAGAGGTTCAAAACGACCATTATCCGTGTGTGAAAATGATGTCGAAGAGATACACTCCTTATTGCCCAAACAACCACGGATTTCAGGTTCAGATCCCAGAGCAGGACATCCTCCAACTTCCGAAATCACCCATTTGAATTTGAGTTGCAGTGAGGTCAGTTTACATGTCCGTATTATTTCTCAATTCCTTGTCAGACAAAACATGACCGCAACTTCGGTCAAGGGGGAAACTGTGGTCATACACAATAGGACGGGGCATTTTTTAGAACAGTTTTACCGACATGGTTTTGGCACTTCTGTCCGCCATGCAGATGATATGAAATTACTCACTGTTCTTGAACAGACCCGTTTTTACCCTTAATGGTCTCACTAAAGTGAGGTCTTTTTAGCTGCTATCAATTCAGGTTCTTTCCTGATAGTGGCCATCTTACAGAGGTCGTCTATTCACATCCGTCAGGTTTGGTTTCAACATTTTGCTTACCTGCTAATCGTGTAGTCAAATACAGGAGAGTAGCTCCTCTACCGGACTTTCCTTCAAAAAGCACCATACATGTCGTGTACGAGCGTATTCTTGGATTTTTTTTTGAGACCTGAAGACCTTGCTCTGTATAGTACCAATGTGGTGCAGGACAGAACCGAAAAAAAACTAACGAACTGCCTCTGATGGGAAGTCCTCTCAGAAACCGATTGTCCTTCACGACGGACTACTCTGCACTCACTGGTGAAGTTTGATATTCTAAAAAGATCGCATTCCCAGATCTCACGTGTACCCACTTGATGAATAGAACCTGCCTGTCTGGAAGCATGGCTGGATACAAACGACAAGTTGTGACCAGTCCATTCTGAGCTTACGGGGCATTACTGTGACTCTGATGATTGGTCACCTAGCTCCTTCTAGCCCCTCATCAAGTTTACTTAGTGAATAAATTGAACGCTGACTCCAGATTCCATCGTGCCGTTTCCAGTCCACTTGTCCAACGAAATAAAGACATAAGGTTATGCGAGTGAAAGACACCGAAATATCCTAACTTTAGCGCGACACGTGCACTGAGTACTTCAAACCGCTAATACCCATATAAGCCCGACAGAGTGAGGTCAGCACTCAACCAAGGAGGCCCAGTAGCAACCACTATCCCATCAAGCCATGAGCGCTGGTGCTATACCTCAGGTCCTTTAAACTCCAGTGGAATGTCGCACTTCCCTAAGCAAACTGACCTAACAATGGTCCAGATGTGAAACCAACGATTGGATGGCTGCTTGCACTATCATCTCGTAGCGTAACAGCGCAATAAAGCGGTTTTTGATTAGGAGCAAGGGCAAGCGAATTGATGGTATCTCCTTGTTGGTTTCCAATGAGCACGTTGGTGGCAAGCGCATAAGCGCCCGCCAGTTCCATGGGTCTATGTGGATATAGTTATATTCAACATATCTCGTCCATTTCAAATGGTCCGCTAACTTCGGAACATTGAAATACAGAGCCCTTCAAACAAGTGTAGGTAAGAGTTCATGTTGTGCTGGTGTTTGTTGTTTAGTTTGACTAGGAAATTAGCATGGCTTTGCACATGTATCGTAAAAGACTAAAATATTCCAACGTTCTGTCAGTGGGGCATCAACGGTTAACCCTAACCCCCGTACAGCCTGGTACACATTCTTAATGTCCACGTTCAGATTATGTTTGGTTCAAACACGTATACGCGGCCGTATGTAACGTTTGCCTTGAAACTCCAAGATCTTTGTACAGCATCGACTGTCAAGCCTATAGTCTGACTACTGTTCAGGTTGCGTAGCACGCGGTGCCACATCTATTGATTTAAATACAAATTGTTCTTGGGAGCCTAGGGCAGGCTGGTAAAAGACAATTGTTTTAAAAACGTTTATGTTTAGAATAAGGGAAGGTATTACTGAGATAAATGTGGGTGGTTGCTGCAATTTTGTCCTTGGCTGCGCATTTAGGTGCAGCATATCCAAAAGTAGCTCGAACTCCACTTTTTCAGCTTCTTTTTGGACGTAAAACGTCTCCACCTGAAGAGATGACCAACCGGACGGTATTGGATAGATACACCGTCTCCGGGATCACGAAAAGCCTTCCGCCAAATCGAAGTCAAATATGATCGAATATAGTATAAACCAGGACAGAAATGCTCTTCAAACTTGATTTCACAACAGTATACTAAGGCCTTCATACCATTGTGGGCTCTTTGTGTACTTATGACACATTTATGCGTGGCACATGGCGTTTCATGTACGTTTTTGTCATTTAATCTCACACCAGACCCAGTATGATGGACACTGTGCCTGATGTGCGAGTCTTGATTGTGCTAGCGCTTACCGCGCCTTGAAGAGCATTCAACATTGTCCCTTCTTAGGTTGTTGGTCTTTACATGCGTGTTTCCATACCAAAATTTTTACATACGTTGGGATTCATCTCATCTGACTGGAACTGTTGGTGGCATGAATTCGAATGAGACGTTTCTCTCTTTTACCTCATATTCTCCTGTTACCCTTTCGCATTCGTCGCTTGTATTCACCTTTATGTTTGTGACTATGCTCTTCAAAAACAAATGACAGTAGTATTGAAGGGATTCGATAGTGTTGGTAGTTTTCCGGAACAGCCGAGCTTCGTGACAACGACCAATAGCTCCTGCCCGTTCAGGGGGTTAAATTCTTTCGTTGAATCCATGAATGTTTCCTTCGGCCGATGCGCATCGCTTCCGAATCCTCATGGTTATTCAGGTTATGGTTATTCTGGTTATTCTATTTCAAACTGTTAGCCGTCGTTCGGTTGAGTGGAATGCGCAAAAAGATTTAGACTGCAGTTCGGAGAAGACTCGTTCAACTTGTGGACGCTTACGCCTGAGTAGAATGAGACTTTCCAGTCACCGGCGCACTCACTCTAAGCATCGCGGAAGCACCCGCGAATCGTTTGTTCCATTTGTCGTCAACATCTGTCATGGACAAATCTGCTCCAGTTTCTAATCAACACGTGCCCGATCACTGTCACAGTACTCGATGACAGTACCAGTGGTCATCCGACTAGGGGTTTGCCACCTCTTTATACACCTCAGATTTAGATGACTCAGCGATAGAAGTTCCGCAGAAGACAGTGTGTGACAAATTGTCTGGGGATTTATGGTATCTCACGGAAATCTGGAGAAACTGACGGACGACTTCGCATCTTTGTCTAATAGAAATGATGCCAGTGCTCATTATGCCATGCGAAACGCATGACATCGGATCGCGTTTCCAAACATCTGCTGTATGGACAGCTGTAGAATGGTCTGTATGGCAGAGGAGGACAGAAAATACGCCACAGACACTCGTAAGCGATGAGCGTACGAACACCAACGCCGGTAAACTTCTGGAGCTGTTTAGCCTGTGTGCTCAGCTGCATCAACGAAACCAGGTCTGCAGAACGCCAGTGCTCTCATATGCTGTCAATCACGAAGCTCCGACGCGTAAATCGGGGTAAGTTTGCTCCAATTCCCACCAGGGGGAACTGTCTGTGCCCCACCTATACCTTCGTTTAGCCATGGCAACCGAAAGGATTTATTCTGGGCCATCCCAGGTAGGTGTGAAGTATGGTATCGTAGCGAAAGATAAAATAGTTGATGGATGATACTGTCACCTCAGTGTTTAATGCATAGTCGAAATTCGTCGTAATTCTGTTATGTTCGGGCCGATTGATGGTTATCAGCGGACCCGTGAGTATTTGCCTGCCGATCTGAATCCTTCGGGTCTCCAATGGGTTTACAAACTCACCCATGGCGCATCCGGCCCCACGCAAACCATTTATGTTATCACAAGCAAGCGTCCAGTCACCCAGTTACTGTTAATAGGCTAATCCCTGTCCTCCGCAATAGCGCAAGCAATGTTCATACTTTGCAGTTTGACAAACCCCCTCTACCCAGGTGCAATTGACTCTATACGTTTTGAACTATTCATCGGGACGGCCTACCAGTCTGGCCGCAGTGGCATCTTCTGTGTGTCCACTTAAGGCCCTCAGTTTTCATCATGATTGACGTTTCCAAACTAACTCCCATGCTGGCGAACAATATCCAGCAAATTTGGCGACGAAGCGATTACAGTTTCTCGCACTGAAAGATGCTTTCACTTGAAATCATTGAGTTTTGCTTTGGGGTCGCCGTTGTCAGAGCCAAAGCTTCGTAATCAAGCTAAACTGAAAATCCTTTATCAACAAGAATGAAACAACTGGGCAATCCTCTATCTTTCAGCGTTACTTTCCAGCTTCACTTGAAGGATAGAATTTGGGTTGAAATCATCCATTTCGGTTCATTCACTGTGTCCCATATTATCACTTTACATCCTAATCAAACTTACTTGATTGCTCACTCCTAGGACTCTCTTGTCATGCAATTTGTCTTCACCCTTTTTTCTTAGGAAGAACTGCAGTCGGCCGACGACCCCTCTGCTGTCTTTATGGGTGTTCATGTTAGCCCTATCTGTTCGGTTGCCCGGCTTCGAATGGCACGTTCAAAACGAGTTGGTAGAATCTTAGCAGAGAAGTTACTCGCCTCCGGAGCTTCACGTATTCTCGAGGAGATTCGATCTCAAACACTGACTGCAAGCAAGACAAATGTGGCTACTTCTTCCGTCACGAAATAATATTCATGCCGTTGTTTTTCTTCGCATAAGTGGGAGGAAAACATACTCAAAAATTGAAGTTGACCCGAATTTATTTTCTCACTCCCCTTGTAGATTTTGAAGCAGCTAGTCTTTTTTATTGCTTTTGAGACCTTTTTTCATAGTCTATAGTGCTATGTGATAATATACATATTTTGGATGATGTTTTGTTTCTGTTTGATGTGACTGGAAATTGTTCCGTCTCGTCTAATTTTTGCTTTTCTTTTTTCCCATTAGTATTCTGGGAATATGCACTTGGGCCATATGGATACTAGAACATCGGATGCTGGATTGTGGGAGATAGCTCAGTGGTCACAGTGCAAAAATACTGACTTGAAGGTTCCTGGTTCGAATATGATCTCTGAACCTCGCTGGCTCCTGTTTAGGCCCTGGTAACCTGGTGGTATCTCAGCCCCCTTGCTTCCTTCTGGGGGATGAGGTGACAACCATGCGCCTAAAGGATATTGCAGCTGAACTATTATTGTTACTATTATTATTACTGGCTTTGAACTCGGTTTCACGTGAGTGATAGGAGCTTATTAAGCTACGCTTGAGATAGGCGTCTAAAAGGGTAACTAATTTCCGCCAGTTCACCCCACGTTTTTACCATCTTAGTAGGGACAATAAGCATCGAGATTCAAAAGGAACCGCTGAGGACTTGGAAGGCTTAGTTTTCTCACTTAGTTATTACGGTCTATCAAGCGGCACCATCAAGCAGTACGGTGGGCTACTCATAAGGTTGCTGAAAATTCTTCGACAACCCTATAAGTAGTACATTGCGAATGTAAATGTATCATGATATCTCGAATATCGTAGCAACTGAAACATGAGGCGGCCTGGTTTCTTCACCCCACCTGAATTTTCCTCAGTTGAGATGTTATATAATACCCAGTGATGCAAGTTTAACGTTCGGCGTAATTTATTGCCCTAGCGGAGCAGTTAGTTGATCAAGTGGTAGGTAGCTAATGTTACGGTATGGGGAAGAGCCACCATCTGAACTTTAGGAGCTTTACTTGGTTTAGTTGCAAGCCCTCCATTCATTCACACAAGATCATAGATGAAAAGCGGCTCATTCGTCCACGCATTCAAATCTCCATTTCCTTAGAAACGAAGAATCTGTTTTTCCAGCTACTTTCGAACTTCAATTACTCATGACTTAGACTAGCGCTCTCCCGTTAAACCCTAGTTAGCACTCTAATGCGTGCGATAGCCCGTTTTGCACATGTCTTTCAAGTGCCGATGTGGTTTCCAGGCCTCTGCATTTCCGTTATCCTTACGGGGAGTTTCCGGCAATCGGTCCTCTCTTATCATGCGTGTGAGTAATAGAAAATAGTAAACGTCTGCCAATGTTCATTCAATGGTGAGCGTGGTCTGATCCATTAATGAGCATTAAACCCGTATATTTGAACGGCCTTCCTCATAAGGTTGCTGAAACCAAATTACGCACTACTCATAAGGTTGCTGAAAACCAAATTAGTTTGCATATGAGAGCAATAAACCTGTTTCCACACTAGATGCGAACCAAAAGCAGTCTTAGATTACGCGCTACTTATCTCCTTAGGACCAACCAAAATGTCCTTGTCGCTTTGCTTGTTATACGACTATTCACTCACACATCAACAATGTGAGGCTGAGAGCTCACGTGAAGGTCAAACGTGTTCTATTCCCAGTCTAGTCCGTTGTGAACTGACGTGGCTGATGCGGTTAACCTTCCTCGCTATCTCCTCCCTACCGCTCAAGTCTAAGTCTGACTATTGTTTCGTATTTCTTCGTCAATATCACGGCCAATGAGCTGAAAAAGAGCCGAAGGAAGGATTAGTCATTTGAATACTAACAGGATAGGTGGCGAGTAAGACCTTGACTCATTCAAGATTCATTGATTGCAATGACGTCGGCGGTATCCAGTACGCATGAGGTCCAATGACAAAGTATGAGGTTGGTTGTGAATGGCTAGTATTCTTCGAAATCTATCCGTTATTATTAGCACGCTGAATTGGATCACAGAGACGTCTGATCCAGGTGCCTTCAAGCTCTGCTTACGTAACTTGCTTCAAGTGCCGAATCACGTTATGGCTAATTCTGCAGAGATCTGTTTTTCGGTGCATTTGCTTTTGAGTTTCAAAATGCTCGCAAGAAAGATGAGGGCATTCACCATACATTAAGCCTGATGGCGATACAGTCACTGTGTCTGGTGTCTGCACTGCTCAACCCGTTCGCGGTGACTTACTTGGCTTAAATTGGCTCCATTGTTAGCACCAAAATTATCGAGGGTTATGTAATATGCACCTGGAGGGCACCACATCTGAATATCGAGTACTTTTAGGCTGGTAAACCCAGCATACTGCCCTTGTGAATATTTCTTTTTAGGAGTCGAATTTATCTCCTGTATGGGAGTTATTGTGGAAGAACACTGCCGCTAAAGTGGTCTCTAGCACACTAACAGTATGCATCTGTGCTCAGACGAGCGCCAATTTTCAAGGTCCTGTAGGGAATTAATATCGCAGCAAGAACTGCTATGGGTCGGTTGTGTGAGCGTCTTCTCTTAGGGGGTTCCGCTCGACTTGTTATCTGAGGTGATTCGTCCTCAATGCTGAACTAGTGCGGGCTAGTTACTTAATATGTGTCCTTGACTCTTCGTTCATTGTACTTCCTTCCTCTTTTAGATGGCGCCGCATAAAACAAACGTAGACCGGAAAAAGAGAAAAGCCTACTATAGGAAAAGTGCTGCTGCATGTAAGCGTCAAAAGATGGCCAGTGTTGAGGATCCCGATCGACCAGCTCAGAACATCCCAAAGAGTCTGGAGTCTGGCATGACTGGGTATCTCATCACTTGCAACCGGAAAGAACGTTCAGCCATGCTTGAATCTTTCCGTCTGCTGAATGATGCCCTGTCAAAAATAACGTCGTCACCCATCATTTTTCCCCCCGGGACACAAACTTCAGACTGCCCCCGGCTTCAGTATTGTCCGAAACCTCCGCAAACTACCCCTTGTGATGGTAATGATGAAGATGATGATATTCTGTCAGAGCTTAGGCGCGAAAACAACGATACTGATAAACCAGTTGGGTCAGGTTCAAGTACCCGCTTCAGTTTTTACTCTATACGTTGCGGAGTTTCTAACTGCCTGTTTCTACTTCATCTTTCGGAGAGTGCTAGTGCTGGTGATATTGTGCATTCTATATTTCAGCATCTTTTGGACACCAAAGAGCCCCAATCCAGATATGTTTTGCGTCTATTGCCAGTTGCCGCCACTTGCCAAGCAAACTGTGTAGAAATTAAACAGTGCATTCGTAAGCTATGGGCTGCATTCCTGGGTACTGTGTCCGTGAACACTGCGACGCCGGTAACTGTCACCCAAGCTCCAGATACTTCTGATGCTGCAGGGATCGAAGTTACCAATAACTCTTCTTCTCCGGATCCCAGTCCCTCCGTTCATCGATTGTGTCCAAATGTGCCGCCCCAGCGTGCTAAAGAACAGACTATGAAAGGTCCAAAAACGTTTCTTGTCATGTTTAAGGCGCGAAACTACAATTTGCTTTCTAGAGATAATGCAATCGAGGCAACGGTATCCGCTGTTCAGAGTGTGGACTCTTCATGGCGAATTAATCCAAACACTCCGTCTGTGATTATTTATGTCAATGTGCTCCGAACGGTTGCATGCATCAGTTTACTTGAAAACTTTGACCTCTATCGGAAATACAATGTTAGTGAACTTTTAACCGACAGATGAGCGTTGCAGGCACTCTGGTTTAGCTCTGACTGCGGTTAGTATATATGTATATATGTTCAATATACACTTTGTAATTTGGTTTTCTCGCCCGATGGATGGATTTCTATGTTAATGGATAAGGCTGAAAAATAGAGTTGAGGTAATTTTGGCAGTTTGGCAGTGTACGTTAATAGACAAGCCATGTTCAAGTGGTTTTTGCGTGTGTCGTTGAGTGATTGGAATTACATGTCCCCTCGTTTTGGTCTGTTCAATCCTGGATTTGGTGCGCAAGGTGACTTTCCTCTACACTGATGATAACTTAGGGTGTAAGTCACATAAAATTGTTGCGGATCACGATGATTGTTGCAATAGCCGATTTGGAACATCCGTCCGCCAATCAAGTTGACAAATTCACCCGTACAGACCTATGACAAGCGTGGCGTTAGAAATTTAGTCAACCAAAATGGAAACTTTTCTGCTCCCCTATCCATAATAGTTGTGTCTAGATTCACCAACGATGCAGTCATTGTGCCACTTAGCATTTATGTCATTCATAAACCACGGGTTCAAGCAATCTGATAGTCCTACCTGCCACGGCACAATGCTCGCCGAACGTCTTACCATTGCACAGCTGTTGAAGAGTCCGAATCCTGTGGTAAACATTCGTAGTATTTTTTGTGAATAGGCTGATGATGTGTTGTGCACAGATTAGTTAATATGCCACTAAGTAACCGTAAAACCCCTCTCTCCATTGGCTTACCTTAAATATTCTTTTCAATGGAAAGGTGGCAGCTGCTAACACGAGTGTAAACTCTATTTAGGTTTGATTCATTTATGCATCTCCCGTGAGTCGAAATGAGACGTTTATCCGGCTGATCACTTCATCTAAACAATGTAGTCTAAATAACCTGACTACCACGTAGATGAGCCTCACTTCACCTAATCATTATCAGTTGGCTGAAATCTGAGCACACGAAAAATTGAGATAAGAAATGTTTGATGGTGGCCTCTGCTTTCACTCACGCTACCGAACTCAGTCTCTTTTGAGGAGCCTTTGAATTTAGTTTTACTCTCTACCAATTAACAACCGAACTCTTCTGATGTCTGATCGATATCAACAGCACGCCTGTTGTGCAGATAATCCAAGTTGTCCACTAGTGTCTGGTAAATGTGAGGCGAAGGAAGTGAATTTCAGGTGACATCGGTAGCCTGGCTGGTTCAACACCGGGCGGGAAACAAATAGCTCGTATTAATTTTCTGGCGCTCAGTCAGTCAGTGCTTGGGCTTCCGACTGATCAAATCTTCTACTTCTATTGCATGCCTGACGTGTCATGTATGGGTAAAAAAAAACTCAAGGTGTGTTCAAGTACATGTACAACAAATGAGTTCTAATTAGGATAGAAATCCTGATACAAATCTAGAAAACAACCAGCTTACATTAGCGAACTAATGTGGCTTTTCGAGAGACTCAACTGGAACTCAGGTGAATGTCCCCGTTTGTGATGTTTCCAGGCAACTGAAGGTGCTGCACCAGGCCGCCTCATGTTTCAGTCGCTACACTATTCGAGGTATCGCGATACATGTATATATTTGTAATGCACTACTCATAAGGTTGCTGAAAATCCATTGACAGTCCACTACCGGTTTCGCTAATTTCGTGCGGTTTGGTCTCAAGTAGAACATAGGGTTGACGGAAACCCGGGGATTGCGCCTACCTGATGAGTTCCAAAAAGGGCGAAACCGGTCGTGGGCTGTCGATTTTCAGCAACCTAATGAGTAGTGCATTACAAATATAAACCAGCTTACATATTAATTAGTGACGAAGACCTCCACAAATTCCTCACTGTATTCGATAGTCTCAGAGTTTTTACTATTCTCACCGGTATTCGAGTAATTCTGGAGCAATGGAACACATTATGCACACTCAGTTTACCGATTTGATGTATAACGTAACTAAGTATTTCGTGGCAGTCTTGCAGTATGTAGTTCAGTTTCTGCGCCTGATAATTTGTCTGATGTTTGAGACCACTATGACTGAAAACCTTACTTCTGCTCTTGACAGAAGGTTGTCGTTTTTCGATTTTTCAATGAGGTTTCCGATAATGTAAATGCATACCATCAGAATGCTCGACTGCTGATTAACATTGATAGGCCACGTTTTTCTCACAAAAACACGCCCACCTTGCGTGTTTTCATTGAGTGAATTTCAAGTAGTCATCTGTTGGTAAACAGATTGCTCGCTTATACACCTTAGTCTTCAGTGCTCTCTTGAAATGCAATAATGAATACGGATGACCTTTATCAAATACACCTTCAGATAAGAGTAAATTGCTAGTTTGAGCATACCGCTTTTAGGCCTATCAAAATCTTACCACTATTGGACCATGATCGTAGCGACGGTATCACCTAGCGAACCGGCTGTTGCACACATTTCTCTTCTCCGCGTCACTGTTTGTGTTCCTGTCGCCTGCGGTCAAATTTCTGCCCAGAGTTTATCTTGTCACACCTTTGGTAACCGAATTTGAAGGCATATGTAGAAAAGATATTTAAAAAAACACCAAAGGAAAGCCTAGCATCCAATGACAATCATCATCACAGGATGCCGATATGAAATAGCCATTAATGTTATTTCTGTGTATTGGCTGATGAATTTCAAATAGATATGGGTGGAACAATGTAAAACCAAAGTATATCAAAGATTAGGATATGCTCTAGAACGAATAAAGATGAGTACACAGTTAAGGGGTCCGGTATATGCCAGTCTGTCCTGTCGGCTAGCTACCTTCTCAACTTCAAGGGAACTGACCGACCACATGGGCGACAGACTAGTTGGACGAAATACGTTCGGGCTGTTGAAGAACAACTACCCAGATGCATCTCTGCAAAGTCTTCTTCACATGTTAAGCGAGGTATACACTTTGAACTGCATGAATGTATAGGCGACTTTGCTCTCGGCTTCCTGAACTACTTGCTGAAGTTTTTTAACCTTAAAACTCGATGAAATACGTCGAAAAACATTAGACAGAGGCCTTCCTCAACGACGTTTCGTTTTCTCTGCGATTAGGTCGTTTACAGATTCGTCTGGTTTTATAAAACAGGGTTTTAGCAGAACCACTCTTGGAAGGCAATATATAGGCCCCATACTTCAGTCGGTTCATTTCAACAGTAGGGTTACCCAAGGGAAACGGATCTCCAAGTGTGGCTTGTACAACTGATACGTAGACTCGTTACGCTTAGTAAGGCGGATGGATGGATTTTCGCTTTGGACTGTACATGTTGGATGCCTTGCTAGGGTATCGTCTTAAATACAAAAGTGCTGTTTGTTGGCACTGCGGTAGAACGAAGACTCACGGAATGTTTTGACGTACCTGTACTTTGAAAATACAAGTAGTTTGGTGCGAAGAGGCCCAATAAAACATTCAATGAAGTAAATGAATGAGCGAAAATAAATAAATTCATGCGGAAACCTAATGCCCTCTTCCTTGTGGCCTTCAGTGGTGAGCGGCCTACGTTCACTTTTCAGAGGATGATGTATATGTGGGTGACCAGATTGTTCAGTACCGATGACAAAAGTTATCACCAGCGTAGCGCGTGTACACCAGAGCTTGCGAGACCTTATTTACTGCGCTACTTTCTACCATCTAAACAAATATGCGAGTTATTATTCGCACCGGTGGCAAGCGTAACGTGCCACCCTTGGCCAACGATCTGCCAAAAGATCTACTTGCAGAGAAATGTCTGTGTTTTTCCAGCTTGTACAGGTACCCCTTGTGAAGTGCACAGCTGACCGTCTCTCTTTCTGGTTTTGACCAACCCTCAACTTATATGCGTTTATTGGCGGCCATTTCATATGTATTTCCATGTTGCTTTCGACTTCAATTGAGTTGTTGTTGCCTCTTCTGGTCTAAATTCTGGCTTTCATCCTCGGTAGCCTACAGTAAATTCATTGATGTTGCTCTCAAAAACGACTTTAATCTTTTGGGTGTCGTTCATTATCATGCGTGATCTAACAACCAATAGTTGGAATGACTTATACATGTACATCAAAACAGTGCATCAACTGTTGGTAACCGAAGACTGTCTTACAGACAGAAACGAAATCCTGACGCCACTTCCAGAACGCTTCAAGTGACTTCATTTCGAAGGTTTTGTCTTGAGAATTTTTATCGATCCTGGCTTACACTTGCATCTGATATAAGCAGAAACAAACCATTTGCTAGGAGGAATGCTGCCAAAAAGCGCTGCTTCCAGGGAGGATCGAACTCCCGACCCCTGGTTTACTAGACCAGTGCTCTATCCACTGAGCTATGGAAGCACACGGGCTGCCACTCTCATTGCTTGAACAAACACCAAGGCGCCCGCGCCACCTAACGTCTGAGCGGTCGAACACGTCTGGTTAAGCCCATGCACACTCACATTATTTGGCTTCCGCTGAACCCGAAACGGGACCACACAATCTGAACGAATCCAAACCGTGAGTAGAAAGGACAACGAAAAAGCGGATCCAAACACGATGAGACTAGTATTTTTCTGACTACTTGTAGTTGCTCCGATATCCCAAAATTCGCCAGGGTCACAATATGGTGATCATGGCTCAAAGTAATGCACCCAGTGTATCCAAACTATTGTTGGATTTACTCTTTAGCACTTTTTCCTCCGGTAAACTACACCTTCTATAATAATATGGGCAAGTTTTACCCAAACCGCTTCTCTATATTGCACTACCAAAATTTGACCAGATATAGACTACATTAAGTCTAACAATTAAATAAACTTCTTGTCAGAAATCACTCGTAGGCTACCAGCTGAAAAACGTTTATTGCACACATATTGGAAACAATCGATTGTTTTCAACTGCTCACATAAGACCATTTGCATTGTGCTACGTTATTATTTACAGACACGGTAGGGTTGCCGCGTCTTCAAATCAACCGGTTAATTACACGACAACCATTAATTAGGTGAGCGTAGAGTGTGTGGATGACTCAGCACTGAGTGAGTAGACGGCATTTGTCTTAGTTCTTTGACTGAGTGAGCCTGACTGATCAAGACTGTCAACTGGGGCCTTACATCACTGTTCAACTGGTCAGACAGCAACAATAAATAAGCTGTTTTCTCCATTACAACAATGAAGTAAGAAAAATACTTTGGTTTATGGTTTAACTCGATAGACTTCTTCGGTTGGCCATTTCTTGATGGTATTGCCTTCAAAACAGCCTCTTTAGTGGATCATGCTTGCGAACTGGTCCCACGCGATGGGAAAAGTTACTCACTAACCTACACTTGTGAGAATTTGGGACAAAGGTGGACTAATAAGTGTAGCATCCCTTCCAAGTATGCTTTCACCAAACTGAATCTGGCATCTGACCATCAGGGTTTTATGCAATAAACCGATTCAGCCGCACATCTGGTGGCTCATTCATCAGCGGAACAAATCGGGGGTACTCGCAAAGGACCACTGGAACCAGTTCACAGTTTAATGTTTCTTTCGCCAGTGTGTGGTTTACAAAAAACCGCGCTTGAAGAACTGGGCGTATGGCACTTTTTCAGTCAGTTGTGCACCTTATACTGTAAGCACAGTACATAGTACACGAGTTTGCAAACATTAAAGATTGTGAGAATTCAAAGGAACTAGGGTTGGAAAAACACAGGAAATAGTTTTTCGTTCACCATATGATCATGTCGAACATAGGTTACAGGAGTGGATATCTTTCTGGATTTTGAACAGTGCTGTTTTTCATCCCACGTTTAACTCTGCCCATCTAAGGTATCGGATACAGTTTCATCTAATGTCCCTTCATCCTTCATCTGGATTAGTTCAATAGAACTGTTCACCAGCTGCATTCTTCTCAATGCATCATCGGTTCTTCTCATGGAGAGGGTTGGTAAGACCAGAGAATTTAGGCCTCCCAAACGATTCCCACAAAAGTCCCCGAAACTGGGGGGTGGGCAAAATACCATTCTGTTGTAGCGAACGTAGCTGATGAGTGGTATTCACTAACAACTTTATCTAATCACATTTGTCATGTGAATCTCAGGCTTTTCGCATACTGCAGCTTTTAATATGCCGGAAAGATAGACTGAAAATCGGGCGAAGCATCAGCTGTCACGGAAATCGTTTGGTTATTTTATCCCCAGTGTCGTTATTACCACACTACTTGGTGCGTGTTGTGACTGTAGGTTGGTTTCAGCAACAGCCGTCAGATGTTTGCTTTTCTCCACCATTTTACGCTCTGGGTCTGGTCAATTAGTGCAAGCGACCCTTGATAAGCAACCTTACCTATCGATTGGAAAATGTTTGGGACGGATTGGGAAGTCATCGTCTCAGAGAAGTTTGGTAAACAATAAATCCACCGATTATTTACCAACCCTACCTATCTTCTTGCTTCTCAGGTGGTTTGGGTAGTCACATCTGCTCATGTGACCACGCCTGTCGGAACAGGTGACTTGACCCCACTGATATGTTCGTTCAAGTACGCTACGTTTATTCCAATGGTCACTCACTGGAACACAACGATGTTTGTTGTGTCCTGATGTTGCGTGGAGCGCACAGTAGCCGCGCAACATAGACTCAAGTTAATTTGAGCGAAATATCCGGATACCTCTCGTTAAGATGAAAGGCAGTGTCATGTCTGGGCTCAGTGCCACATGCGTTTCTGCATTTACCAGCTTAATGGGGGCAGTATCGATTCCGCGCTGACTGTGCTACATCAGCTACGGTAGGCAAGTTCTCACAGGACCGGTGAGTGCATGTAAGATTTTGTGGGCTCTTACCGTCAACAAGGTGAACCAGCTACGAGTCCGACACTGAGATGTAGACATCAAGATAATTAAAGTCATGAAATTTGAACAAACTGACACCAATGGCCGACACACCATAACGGCTCAGAAGCGAGACCTCACTTACCTAAACGTCTATTTTTTCAGTTTATCACTGAAAGACAGCACTAGTCTTTGAGAGTATTGGATCTCAGGTGAAGTTATCAACTTTTTCGAGAAGTACACTCATTTGCAACTCAATTTTGTTCTCACGAGAGACTCGACTGAATCTCTCGTTTATGATATTCTACAAATGAATGTGCTGCACACAGGCCGCCTCGTGATTCAGTTGGCACGATATTCGAAATGTCGCAGTATATTTTCGTAAAGGAAACTACTCACAAGGTTGCTGAAAACTCCTCGACAGCCCACGACCGGTTTCGCCCTTCTTGCAATTTGAGTTCAAGTAGAACATGAGGTTGACGCAAACTCGGGGACTGCGCCTACCTGATGAGCCCCAAGAAGGGCGAAACCGGTCGTGGGCAGTCGAAGAGTTTTCAGCAACCTTGTGAGTAGTTTCCTTTGTGAAGTTATCAACTTCTTTTGAACTTTGCTACTCCTCTGAAATTTTATACCCTTTCTGATTACCTGATTTCCACGTCTCTCCTTAGAATCCCTTAGTCCAGCCTTCTAACGATGGTTAGCTTCATTGATGGTAACTGTTTTCGAGTCCGACATGATCGCATTTTTAAAGCATTCCAGAAAATGTGTAGATTTGTCTTCGAAGAGAAAGTCAAGAAATTAGACCGGTTAACAGTTTAGCTAGATAAAAGTTGATTCCCTGGTGTCTAATGTTTATTTGAACTTGATCTGGAAAATCGCATGCATGCAGTCTGTCTTGACACACAAGGGCGAGATCGCTCAAGTGGTTAGAGCGCGAATGCACTGACCAGAAGTCCCGTGGTTAGAACCCGACTCCTACCTCCAGACTTCCCCTATCTAGGCTTGAGTAACCTGGTAGTATCCCAGCCCTAGTCCTCTTTTTGAGTGGCATGGCAGCTGGGCACCGATAGTGTGTTACATCTGAACAATTTGTATTTTTCTTGACACGTTTCACCGACTGGTACTCGTAAGCACACCGAACCCGCAGGCTTGATTTTACTTATTGACAGGCTTGGTGAACGACTTTTCACGCGAGTGTCACAAAACTACTCCTCACGAGCAGATTTTGCCGTAAGTAGGTTTTTGTCATCCCCTTAAAAGGATCAACGTCCATCTAGTCCTCAGAGTGACCGCATTTACCTGTGTCGTGCTTCAGTGCTTTGCACCGCTTTATGTTGGTTTTCGTCAAGCACAAAAGCCATCTGCATTGCTTGGAGGAAATCTCACATTACCTACACTACATGAAAATTTCTGCCTGAACATTTTGCTTTCATGGGCCCTCAGAAAATGACAATCTTTTTCTCTGTAGGAATTACATAATTTGTATAAAGAAGCGAGTAACCGCATTTACATAAGGAGATGAGCTTTTAAGCATGTGAACTATCTGGGAGTAGATCAACCTGCTAAAGGTAACGTCTTCTTTAAACCAATAGGTGCTTTGCCTTCTTGCCCATCAGGTAGTGTCTTTATGATTCCTAACATTTGACACATTCTGTTATACATCGCTTATCAAGATACGTCTCCTTGTTTTGTTGCTCGCCCCATAACTTCTTCAATCTTGAGAGTACTGTTGTTCACCGAATGCAGACAGCAGTTCAACAACCTCAGTTGTGTGAAGATATTTAGCCTTACCTCAGCCAACAAGTATGCACTGTTGAGTGGGCGGTTGATTATAGCATGACAGAATATGTTGAGTCTAACTTGACCTTCTGATAATTCCCCCATTCGTCTGCTTACTCCGCCTGTGTACTTTTTATCTCCAGTTGTTTTGCTTATCCGTACCCCCACCCACCTTGCCGCAGAGGCCGTCCTTTCCGATACTTGTGTATTGACATGTGTGTCTGTGTGAATGTGCGCTGCTGTCCTACTTACCCATGCACGTTCATGTCCCGTTTGATGAGCCTGCCTTGACCTGTTTTCTAATGTCCAATGGGAATTACAAGACCGTCGTCAAAATGGATCACCACAACCCACGCTACGGAGCCATCATCCCGCTCGCCGTTGTTTGGTGTGCGGACGTTGACACTGCACTGTGCCGGTCAGTGACAGACCTGTGAACGTGTTGACGCTACAAACGTGAACAATTGAGGTTTGTTGTACACATTTGCTTACTCTTGTGTAAATAGCACCATATATATATATTTCAAGCTCACTATCCCTTCAGGCTTAAAAGAGGAGGTTTTCCAAGATGTCTGGTTTAAAGCAGCAGAATGTGACATCCGAAATTCATAGAAGCCGGTGCTTTCTAACTGAAAACTGCTTGTGGAACATGTCAACACATTATTTGTAGCCGTAGACTAGGTACGATTTTGCGGACCAAGCCAAGTTTATGATATTGAAGAAAATAGAAGTGGAACATAGAAGTGGAACACACTTTAACTGAGGTCTTCCAAGGATACTTTTAAAAGCTTGGTAGGATACTGGCGTCACAAGTGAAAACTGTCAGTCGCTCGAATATCTTGGTTTGGACTTCTTTTGGAAACGGGTTTTTCTCGCCATCCATAGGCTCTTCACACAGGACTTTCCCATAAAGAGCTGCATTCAGAACTCCAAACGGATTGTCTCTTCTGAACAACATACAAAACAGTTAAGGCATCCACCAGTGGCACCAATTTGACAGTTCGTCTCTGGGGGTCATCCTTTGTCACAGCCTTCACATGCACCACTGTTATTCGCTGAGCTGGCACATTCAGGCAGGTGGGTCAACAGGTTGCTGGTATGTCCTACAATGGTTGCACATCCAGGTGCGCTGTTACTTTCCGCTGTCGCGGGAGTTGAACTCACTGAATAATGATGTCCGAATTATTCCTCTTCGGCTGAATAACGTATCTGCTTCTCCAGCGGTTTCCATGCTGAGCACTAGATTATTGTGCTCATCACGGACTAAGAGCAGGCAGGATGAACTGGAACTGCACCTGGGTCAGACATGTCACCAGCTACGCCTGGTTATTGCCGATCGTTAATTAAATAAGGACCTCAGTAAACAACTAACGAGTACCCACCTAAGAGAGCATTAGGCCAAAAAATTACTGATGACTTCGAAATCTAAGCACCAAGCAATCATTTTTCTGCTAGGCAGATCTTCAGAAGTCTATGTATTCAGGAGGTAACCGACGAATGAGTTTCAAGCTGCTGACCAATTCCATTCTCTTAGGGCCAGTGTAGAGCGTAGAACTGCTACGCAGTAAGATACCAGGTCAAGTAGTGACTAAAATGCTCGCGATCAGGCGGCAAAAGCTAAGCCTGCACGATCGAAACAGGTGGGTGACTATTCCTCACTTGACATGGTCCACTTGCTTGTTCTCATCAGATGAGGGAATTAACAACTGATAGCTATGCGGTTTGCACGTTCTGACATGCGCGATGACAAGCGTGCGACTTGATTTAGGTGGTATTGAGTCAGTGCCATGATGCGACATTAATTGCAGCACAAACTGTGAACAGTTAGTTACTACCCGCCTGGCTCTTTCTGCCGTTAAATGTCACTGATCTGATGAACTCCAGAAACATGTGGAAAAACAATGTTTCACTACAGTCGTTCTGAATGATCAGCTCACACTTTCTTGTATTTCTGTCCGCTTCGTGGCGTACCTAATAGTGTTACCAGTCGAGGAATAGTAGTATTTAACCCGTCTGGGATATATTTCACGATACAGTGAAGGTAACAGAAAAGTATTTGAAGATGTCGCGTAGTACTCGAGTGGGTTTATAATTCCCAGCTTCTTTGTCACATATCTTCTGCTTACGGTGAAGACCACGTAAGAAGACGCTGGGAGCAATACAATTTTTGAAACGCAGAGTTCACAGCAGTCTGACGAATTTTATAGAGCTGACTTCCGCTGTTATTTGACCTTAAGTGGACTTGAAATTTTCAAGGGATTTGTAAGGAAATGTGTAGTCAAGACGCGAGTACTGGCACAGCCAACGAGACTCTGATAAACAGCAGATGAGACAGTGAGAGAAGTGGGTCTTACTTCGAGATAACCCATTTAGGTATGGTGCAAAAGCGAACACAAGATTGGTTGTTTTGATCTGTAGCGATTAGGAGCTCTTTGGCCGATATTTATAAAAAGTTGAATTGTTAGTCTTTAAAACTACCAAGTTCTATTCTAGTACGCTTCAGTCATGCTAATTTTATTATCCCTGTGTTCAATTCTCCATCAATCACAACTGCTAACCATGTTATTGCCATGTCCGATGAGTTCTGTTCTCACCGGGATTTCGATACCTTTCGTCCTTAAATTTCAGTGACTTGACCATGTAGATTGTTGACTTGTTTCCTCAAGTATCGTCAGTGATGCCTATTAAGATTCAATATGCTCACGCCTGGCGACTGTTATGTTCATCACTCTCATTGTACCGCTTTAATCATCTTCATGGCATGCTACATAGTAGTTGATGGTTGTACGGCAGTGAAACATCGGTGTTGAACACTGATGTCCATGATGATGATGATAACACAGTAGTTGAAAAAAGTATTATTTCTGTTATTACCATCATTCGTAGTGTAAGAAGATTTGATACTTTTTGTGATGTTGTCCTGTCAGTGAAGCCAGTCTACGCTGAAAAGCCGAGAAGCATTGTGCAGCTGTTTCATCCGTATTGGGAATCATCGGCGGTGTCCATCTCACTATCATTATTATTACTATCGGTTTTTCACGACTGCATGACCAAGAGAAGTTCAGTCCCGTACGTCGCTTGAATTCAAAGCTCGATTTCACGGGTAAGTACCTCACTGAAAGGGCCGGGCTTGAACTGTTTAAAGGTGGCTATTTATGAGACCCCTCTTTAAGGCGCTGAAGCCAGTTCCCTTAAGTTTCTGGAAGTGCCTATAATATGGTTAGGTTATGGAATCTAGGGGCACTTGTTTTTGCTGTAGCCGTCACCTACCCTTACCTGTGAAAGAAACAATGACTTTCCTGTGGAGTTATTTATTAGAAAATGCCAACTGAACATTTACAGACTATTGGACAGGGGAGCAAAACTCTCATATGCATCTTGTTCACAAAAACTGAATATCCATCTTCCATCCATCCTGAACTTTCCTTGGTATTCATTGACTGTTCCTCAGTTGCAAGCAAAGCTATAGAGCGACTCCACAACTTTCGTAATAGATCTCACTTTTCAAGAGACGCAAAGCGGATTTACGAGAAAACACACTACTCGCATGCCACTCCCATCAGTAGTATCAACGCTACACCCGTATACACTTAAATGATATCTCAGTATCTTGGAAAATGTTTTTTGGAACATCTTTTCGGTTAGGTGAATCGTCTTTGAGTTCTAAAAATTTGGTGGTCGTAGTACGTTCTGTTCGCCTGCTGGAATCGTTCCGTTTGAATTGAGACGTTCGAAAAGGTTAAAATCAGAAAAAAACACTGAGTACAGCTTCCCTACTTTATCAACTTGGTCCTTCTGAAACGCCACAAAACTACTCAGAAATATAAACAA